AAATTTTGATGAAGATAATTGAAATGATTAAGCAACCATCTTTAGAAAGTGGATTCCTGATTAGGATACTTCAAATGCTAACTATATGTCTCTAAAATATATGATAAAGTTCAGTTACACATATGCATATTTCACACTACTTATGTCAAAAATGTTTAAAATAAATTGTTGCATAAAAACTACAGATGTTGGCCGGGTGCAGTGGCTCACGCCTGTAATCCCAACAATTTGGGAAGCTGAGGCGGGTGATTCACAAGGTCAGGAGATCGAGACCATCCTGGCTAGCACGGTGAAACCCCGTCTCTACTGGAAAAAAAAAAAAAATTAGCTGGGCGTGGTGGCAGGCGCCTGTGGTCCTAGTTACTCGGGAGGCTGAGGCAGAATGAGTAAACCCGATGTTGGTTTTTTAAAAAGTGATGATCTATAGGCTTAAGCTTCTTCTAGCTATTATGTCATAATTTTATTTTTGTATTTCTAATTCTATTCTCTCCAAATTGATTATCTTTACATACTTAGAACATAGGTGAGAAACAATATCAAATAAATCTCCTATAGCTAATAAGTGATCAAACCATGAGACTCAAGCTAAAATCTGGTTGCCTAACTTAGTTCACAACCCAGTGTTCTAAACCCATAGGTTAAGTGACTTGAAAACTGGATACCGAAATGCCCATCCATAGTGTGTCAAAACAGAAGATGGAAGAATATTCTAGAAGTTAATAACACTTGCTGAAACATTGTAAATAGCAAGTTCAAAGTGGCTAGCTATTTTCATCCTGTAGGTGGTTGTGATTTAGAAGTTATGAGAGTATACTCTCTTCACTGCAAAATATTTCTTGTGATATTAGTAATAGAAAGTGATCTGAGGAAATGAATAAATACATTAATTCAATGAAAAGGAAGCCAGGGTTGTGCCATGATCCCTCTCTGGGCATTGGAAAGTAGTCAGATAAATTGGTTTCTCTTCCAAAAGTTACTGCCATTAGTCAGATAACACCTAGGGAAACTTACATTTAATGTCTTCACTAAAGAAAGGATACTTGATGATGGTCTTGAAAAAACCATCACATTGGAAAATATGTGGTAGTGATTGTATTGGCAACTGAGATACCGTCACAGTTGGGTTCCCTGAGGGAAATTATTTTGAGATGGAGATTGGCATGAAAGAAGTCTATTAGCAAATTCCTGTGGAGGAGAGAAGGAAGACAGGCTTGGAGAAAGGGAGAGATTTAACAAAAGCCTCAGCCAACCTAATAGGGAACTCTGGAGCAATGTAAGAGAGTATGTGTGTGTGTGTGTGTGTGTCCATCATAAATATTTTCTATCTCAAGGGAATACAGTTTTTGACCTATCATTCTGATGGGTAGAGAAAGAACACATTTGACAGATCAGTGACCACAAACCATGTAGCTGACATTGTCTTAATCTATTCTAGCCAAGGTTTCACATCTGATACAGATGCTGCAGTTAGGGTTACTACTTGGCTGAGTTTTCAATAGTCCACTTTCATCCAGTGTCTAGTTTTTATAGAGGTCAGACTGGTGAATTAAATGGAATTATGATAAGGCTCAACATTCCCACACGCTTTAGGTCTTGAAGGGTAGCACTAATCTCTGCCTTCACATGGGATGGAATATTAATTTTGGTTTACTGTCTTGGCCAGGAGGTGGGGCAGTTTCAGAGGCTTCCACATGGCTTTCCGTTTAAGACAATTCTAACACACACACCAAGAAAGGAATGGCGGTTCTGTCAACTCCCAAGTATGTTCAGTCTGATTATTTATTCTGAAAGTAAGGAGATGACAGGGAGTCTAAGTAGGGAAATGATCATTTATTCTGAAAGTAGTATCGACAGGGACCCTACCATTGGGTAGAGCCATGAATTCAGTGGACCTAGTGCTAAGTAATACATGGAAAAGAACTCCTTGTATTATCTGAATCCCATATGCCCCTCGCTCCAAAAGGTGGACTCTAGTGATACTCTGGTCCTGAAGTATCAATGTCAGCTTGGACCTTGTGTCTCAGCACCCTCAGATTATTCATGTACTCCCCTTCCCCAGTGTACAGTTATCCAAGTAAATAACCATAGGGGCATCATTGCTATACACACTTGCAGTGGTTTTACAAAGACCTTCTTGAAGACCTAGACTTTCCTTCAATCAGCAGTTTCTGCATTTGGAAAATAACAAAGGTCTGAAAATTTGGCAAAAGATTACGACCTTTTATTAAGGAGGCTGTGCCCTATCTCCTGATCACCCATCCTTGAGGTCTTTTGAAGGTATCGTTTGAGCAATACTCATTTTATACCTATTTTGCTCCTAAAGATGCCATGTTCCATTAATTGTCTCCAAAGCTCTGTGCAGGAATCCTTCGACCTGGCCACTCATTGTGATAATTGTATCCATTTGTCTTCTGATAGTGACTCACTGCCATTGGGCCTCTGTTCTTCCATGTCCATTGCTGTCAGTGAGCTCACGTCTGTAACAGCATCTGGCCTTCAGAACTGCCACTGAGCTTCTCAGGGATACTGCTGCCCTCTGACCAATGCATTCCTTATCCCTTTAGTACATGCGTCCTCTGTGCCTTCCTGGGTGTCCCTTTGCCCTTAAGAAAGCATAAATAATATTCTGTGCAATACATCCATGAACTGTAAAACCAGGTGTTTGATCTACTAGTTATAGGGTTTTTCCCCTGGTGCATATTAAAATAAATATTAATATAAAAACTTCAATCCATCTACCACCCAAAATCAACCTCCATACACAGATGAGCCTTTAAGAAGTACTAAAGTAAGAAAATAAAAAATGAGTACTAAAGTAGTCGACAGGGAGACAAAAAGTGGGAAACTCTCTGGCCTCCCACACATCTGTGGCTCCTGGTCCTGCTAAGCACACTGTGACATCTCCAGCGGCCACCTGAGGCACCCCTGCACCTCTCTCATGCACTGCCATGGCCAGTGGACTTTAGCACACATCTAATTCTTGACTAGCTTTCGGATGATGGGAGGTCCTTAAACCCATGAGTGTTTCAGCCTCTCTGCCCTTTAATTTAAAGGGATGATGGGAAAGAATATCTATCCCTTCTTATGTCAGAAATATAATACACATCCAGCTGAAAAGTAAATACAGGAATCTTTTAATTCCTTGTAAGGAAAATTTCCTGGATAATTCCATGTATTTTAATAATCACAGAGATAGTCCTATCCTTATTCATTATCAAAATACTGTGGTAACAATTTATACTCTATAGATGCAAACAATCTCATCTATTTTGACATAAAAAAGGCGGAAAGGCAAAACGCAAATTCTGAGACAGAGATTAAAACAACACAACATCCTTAGATTTGTTTATTTTATTGTTTGTTTCACTGTTTGAATGTTTATCTTGCAAGAGCCTACAGAAGTGAGAGAAAATATCTGCAGGCTAATTGTACATAACATGAGACAAAGATTAAGCACTAAATATAAAAAATAAAACTTTTAATTTACTTATTAAACTAGGAAGAATTTTCCTGAAACACAGCAGTTAAATTGGTCTGCAATGCATTAATAAATGGAGAATACGGATCTTGCCTATGAAATATTTTAAACACTGTGGATGCTACCAAAAAGTTCATTGGTATGCAAAAATTTTCAAGTCACAATCCTCTAAGCAGACTAAATACAAGTTAGTTTTTAACCTGAATTCAGAAGTGCAAAATCTGTAAAAATAAACATATTGTCATTGTTCTCAGCAATCTATGGATTAAACTTACAAATCCTTAAAGACTTTTCAGTAAAATGAACCATGATCTCTTGATAAGTTCCTTGCTTAAGTGGCAAGTAACTTTTGAAGCTGGACTTCTCACTCTGTAGAGAAAAGCAACCTGCATTTGCAGCATTGCTCCCTTTTGAAAATTATCTTCTGAACTGAAGAAGGTCCAGCAAAGATCTTCAGTGCAATACTCTCTGCATATGTGCAAAAGTCTGCATGAGAGTTCCCCCCACAGGTGTAGCTGCCAGCCAACGAACCAGAAACAGATGAAAGACAAGAGAAGAAAACAGAGGTCAAACATTTCAGTTTACAGATGCTATTCCAGATAAAATGCCAAGGGCATGGCCGGGCATGGTGACTCACGCCTATAATCCCAGCACTTTGGGAGGCTGGGGCAGGCGGCTAACAAGGTCCAGAGATCGAGACCATCCTGGCTAACATGGTGAAACCCCATCTCTACTAAAAATACAACAAATGAGCCGGGTGTGGTGGCACACGCCTGTTGTAGCCCCAGCTACTCCAGAGGCTGAGGCAGAGGAATCACTTGAACCCCGAAGGCGGAGGTTGCAGTGAGCCGAGATTGCGCCACTGCACTCCAGCCTGGGTGACAGAGCAAGACTCCGTCAAAAAAAAAAAAAAAAAAAAGGCCAAAGGCTTTTGGAATAGAAAAGGACAATATACAGAGATGAGAGAACCAGATATCAATAATGTTGGGAATTTAAAATGCATGTACCACACATGAACACAGAACTCTTTAAATGCAGCTGTAGGAAGTTCCATTTGGGTCTCCCTTCTGAGCAGTACTCCTTGTCATTTCCATTTTTTTTTTTTTTAGACGGAGTCTCGCTCTGTCACCCAGGCTGGAGTGCAATGGTGCAATCTTGGCTCACTGTAACCTCACCACCCAGGTTCAAGCGATTCTCCTGCCTCAGACTCCTGGGTAGCTGGGATTAAAAGCGCGTGCCATCACACCTGGCTAATTTTTGTATTTTTAGTAGAGACAGGGTTTCATCATGTTGGTCAGTCTGGTCTCGAACTCCTGACCTCATGATCCACCCACCTTGGCCTCCCAATGTGCTGGATTACAGGCGTGAGCCACCACGCCCAGCCACTCCTTGTCATGTCTGTCATCTGATACATCTATACTTCTGAATAATCATAACTGATACTCAAAGCGATACCCTGACACCTCCAAGGTTCTACAAGGTGACCAAATCAGAGAGGTTACATCATGTCTAGTATTATTTTGGGGTTAGCATACATTTTATAATAATTATTTTAAAATTGGTAGTCTGTTTTGAGACTCAGTGACAGCTCTCTCTATTAATCATATTGTTTTATGAACTGAAATAGTCCACTCTGTCAGTAGGATTCATGGTCAGAGATTATGATACAACCAAAATCAAAGCTGGGGCAATGGGGTCTTGGAATGGAACCACCCATTATGAACTATCCATCTGACCAACTCTGTAACTTTCCTCCTAAATGTGAGATCACCAAGGCGTTTCAGTGCACCCTGCACAATTCATGGGGCAGGGTCCTCAGATTAAAGACTTTACATTTATGTAGAATTCATTATCATTTTTCACTAAGCAAACTCTCTATTTGCTCACTCTCTTCTACATGTAATTGTCCAACTTTGGTTGACTGCTGAGTCCTCATGGAAGAATTCCCATTCTGTCCCTGAGCCTCTCCTTTAGGGACTTGGAAATGGAAGGTAGTGCAGTTCTTTCTGGCCATCTGCCAGGCATGGAACCCCAGGCTTCTTGGGGTAAGTTCGACGAGCAAGCTTAAAGAACTCTTCTGCAGCATCAAGTGCAATGAGACGGTCCTGCAAAAACAAACAACAAACCAAAAACCTGCTGGCAAGATGGGAACCAAGACATGTCAATAGGAAAAATCAATCTAACAACAACAAAACCCACCCTGGAAATGACAATGAGCACGTAAGACGTTTATTAATTTTTTCCTAACAAATGTAGAGACACACCTTAATCCTTTACTTACATTATCCAAGAAATATTTCCCCACTCCTTAATGTCCTTTCAGATTATTTTTTAGTCTTATAGGTTATATAAACAATACTTCTCACGTCTCTTTGACCTACAAATGGTTCAGAAAACATACTACACAGTAGAATCCACTGAAAAAATACAAACTCTTGAGCTGGAACCCAAGCCTCAGTAGGTCTATGTGTGATACGGAAATCCGAACTTTTAAAGCTCTTTAGGTGATTCTGATGCTGCGGGCCACTGGGAATCAGAGTATATAATGCCAGCATCTGCCACCTCATCTGTGATAGTGATGGTGGTGCTGGAATAAGTAGGATAGTGAATAGTTTTTAAAAGGCAAACAATTGAGGCAGAATTAGGGCAGATGAAAAAAAGCATCCACTTACCACAACAAAGAGATATCTCTCTGAGAGCTCCCAACTTGTTGGGAAAATATTGGTTTCTTCAGCCAGTTTTAACAACATCTCTCGAGCTTTCCTTGTGTTTTTCGAATCACTGATGGTGCTGAGTTTAGTCACTGACAACAAAGAGTCAGCTTCCTTTTGAAAACCTAAGGTAGAAAAATGTACCACTCATGTATAGTAGTCCCAAGTTAACAAGTGTCCCGCAATACGGTCCCCACAGGAGATTACAAGCAGACCCATGTGGATTCTGTACAAGTATAAAGCATCAGAAAACTGAAGCCAAAGGCACCATTCCATGTGCTGCCTCCCAGATCTCTGTGATTGCCTGGATATTTAATTACAACTCTTTTGGTATTTTTTTTTCTCTTTGTTAACTTTTCCCTCAGAGCCTCAGATACTCATCCACCAGCTGCTTGCCACCCTGTTTCTGGTTTGAAGCCCTCTTTCCTGTCCTCCCTACTGTTTTACCTTCTCCCCTGTCCCCAGAATTCCTACCTGCCTCCCAGCCTGCAAAGTGGTTCCCTCCAGGCTGTCCTTCTCCAAACCTAGATTTCCTTCCTCAGGGTAATATGATTAGCTGGTAAAAACCACTTACCCAAAAGTATAAAGAACTCAAAGACTTAAACCCACTTGGAGTAACTTACATTGTTTAAAAAAAAAAAAAATGGCTATTAGCTCACAACAATACTGGATGTGCAAAGAGGGCAGAGGTCCCATCCCATCCCACTGCATGCCAACCAAAGCAACAGAGACTGGTCACATGGCACCCCACGCTTGAAAAGTGATGATGCCAAGATGTCATGCTCTCTTTCAAAGCAAAAGGATCAAGGACTTCAGAACTGATCAATTCACTTTTTAAACACTGAAGTAGGATTATTTTATAATGTGGGGGTCACATTTATTACATCACAATCCTGGGACAACTAAGAAAAATCATTATCATTAACCATTAGTGATGAGGGCACGTATCCAACCTAATGTCACAAGTATTTTTGCCAACCTTGACAAAGCTTTTCTTCCATACTTCTTCTGAAATTCTACACTGAGTTTTGCTGTCTGTCTTGCAAACAATATTTCTCCCAACCTGCTTCATCTTACAAAGCTATGACTAATTGGTCAACACCCACATCTAATTAAATTAATGTACAATGCCAAAAATAAATAAATAAATGGTAGTGCCTATATGACTGCACTGGCCTGTGTACCCTATACTAGGGACAGATGGAGTAACACATGGCAGAGTGTATCCAGAAGACATGGACTGGTGACAACAGAAACATCAGGCATTTATGCTTGAGGATATAAGAGCAAGATTGGGAAAATAATTAGTACCCAGTAGCCTTAATCAGTCAATTATTGACATTCCTTTTATAAAAACTATGGTGGAGAAATTGAAGAATAATGATCACAACTAGTTATTTTTACCATTTCACAATCTCTTTCAGACTTACCTAAATCTTCTAAGATGCGCTTCCATCTGTTTCTTACTTCCCTTCGAACCTGCCGCAGGGTATGGATATCATAGTTGAGTTTCTGCCACTCCTGTAGGAAAATAAAAGTTTAGTTTTGTTTATACCCCTTGGCTTAAACCTCTATCTCATTCCCAAACCTCATGTTGCTTAAACACATGGCTCTTCTCTTTTATTAATCTTCAAAGCATGCCTAAAAGAAGAGAAGGAGACGGATGAGATAAAGTTGATAGGAATAGTATCAGCTTCCACTGCTGGAGAATCTGCTCTGCACCAGGTGATATGGCACCTTGCATAAACTATCTTACTGAAACTCTTCACATTACATAGTCTCTCAACTTAGTGATCTCACTTGTAAAGTGGAGTTAACAATGATAAATATTCCATTTAAGAATGTTATAAAGACTGATGGCATACAGAAAGCACAATATCTGCACACAGTGAGCACCTAATAAAATCTATATATTATTAAAGCCATTTTATAGATGCAGTAACTGAGGCCCAAAGAGCTTCATTGGCTAATCCAATGTCATCAGCTAATAGGTATCAGAATAGATATTTGAACCCAAATCTGGCTCCAAAGTTCATAAGAAACTGACACACACAAAAATCTATGTCTCCTTTTGTAGTCAGAATAAAGTAGACCTGAAAATCCCAAGTTTCTTGATTCCTGGGCAATGTTTCCTTCACTATATCTCAGCAACATTCTTTTTTACTTATATTCCTTTGATAGGATGAATCTGTCACAAATTCAACTTTATCAACTGATTAAAGTTCTTTATCAGTCCTATGTATAGGATGCCATCATGTTGTTCCAATATAGAACTTGAATCTTTTAGGAGCATTAGGATCTTTATTGAGATAAGTGTGCCTTTAAAATGTCAAAGAAATTTGTTTTTAACGAGCCTTGTCACTACGGAGCAGTCATTTTATAGAGTATACCTTTTACTGTTTCTTAGCAAAGACATTAACCACACAGCTATCCTAATGCACAGACCAAAAGAACATCATTCTAAATGCTCAATTTAGGACTCAAGTTATATGATATTTTGACTCCTCTAACTGAAAATGTTTCAATGATGCCATTATTTCTCTACTAAGTTCTGTTCAAGGCTTGCCTTGTTGATTGCTAATCAACTCATGACTGGTTAAGAAAACCCAATTTAGCTGCCATTTCCAAATGTTTATAGATATCACTTTGAAAAAAAAAAAGGTAGCAAAATTTTGTTATGACTGCATTTTAGATCTTGAATCTGCGGATGGCACATCCGCAGGCCATGGGCTTTCAGCTATTTTCTAGAAGTCAGGAAGTGGCAAATTTGAACACTTTCACCCAGTCCTCTTGTATTTTACCAAAGACATGTTGAATGTGCATGTGCACGTGTGCATGGTGATTGGGGTCAGAGACAAAGTCTGTGACCTTGGAAGAGGGCAAAGTTAACTAAGTCATATAAGAAATATGCAACCCTGGCCATATCTTTAGCATCACGTTAAAGCATACCTATCTCATCCCCCACAGACTATGTAAGTTGTAGGGGAAAAAACTCAAGTACTGCTGTCTTCATTGGATGGGCCTTATTATACTTACTTGGCCACTCAGTATAGCATATTGGAAAATACTGTGGGTGCTGAGCCTGAGTGTCTGGGTTTGAATCCCAGCTCTGTTATTTACTGACAGCCTGACTTCAGAGAAGTTCTTAACCTCACTGTTCCTCAGTTGCTTCATCTGCAATATGGGGATAATAAAACTACCTACCTCATTGGCTTATTGTGAGGATCAGATGAGTTAATGCAAGCCCTTAAAATGGAGGTTGGTCCACATGCTCCTCCAAATCAGTGTAGCACAATTAAGAAACAATCCTAGGTCAGGCCCACTGGCTCACACCTTTAATCCCAGCACTTTGGGACACGGAGGTTAGCAGATCACTTGAGGTCAGGAGTTCCATACTAGCCTGGCAAACATGGCAAAACCCTGTCTTTACTAAAAATAATAATAATAATAATAATAATACAAAAATTAGCTGGAGGTGGTGGCGCACACCTGTAATCCTAGCTACTCAGGAGGCCGAGGCAGGAGAATCGCTTCAACTCAGGAGGCAGAGGTTGCAGTGAGCCGAGATCACACCACTGCACTTCAGCCTGGGCAAGAGTGAGACTTTGTCTAAAAAAAACAAAAAAAAATCAGAGGGCCAGGTGTGGTGACTCACACCTATAATTCCAGCACTTTGGGAGGCTGAGGCAGACGGATCACCTGAGGTCAGGAGTTCAAGACCAGCCTGGTCAACATGGTGAAACCCCGCCTCTACTAAAAATACAAAAAAAATTTGCTGGGCGTGGTGGTGTGTGCCCGTGGTCCCAGCTACTCGGGAGGCTGAGGCAGGAGAATTGCTTGAACCTGGGAGGCAGAGCTGAGATCGTGCCACTGCACTCCAGCCTGGAAAGCAGAGCAAAACTCTGTCTCAAAAAAAAAAAAAATCCTCCAGGACTCAGAATTATTTCTACTATGAGCATGGAGGACATGATACATTACATTATGCAGTATGCAGTTTGTGAGGACCTCCAGAAGAAAAATTTATCTGCTCTAAGTATCAGATGGTTTTATCTTTCCTAAAAATTATTTCGTCTTTCTGGATGCTGTAAATTTTATAACTGATCCGTTTCCATTTGTGCCTGAAAATTTCAAGTACTTTCATGAAAAAAAAAAAAAAAAATATATATATATATATATATATATATATATATATATAGGGTTTCACAAGCATTTTTGAATTACTTCAATTTCTGGCTGCTTTTTATGTCTTTATTCATATTTTCCTCTTTCTTTCCTGTCTTATTCTAGTTTATCTTATCTCACTATACTTTCATGTGAGTCGCCTTAACTCCTTTTAGATAAAAAGATGGCAGTAAAATAAGAGAAATATTAGGAGGAGTTACACTGTGCTTATTCTCAATGAAAATGACCCTGCTTTCTGGAATTCATGAAAAGTGACCAGATTCTTAATCACACTTGATTAGAGACCCACTCAATCCACGGATGAGTTGCCTCATATGTTCACACAACTTTAACTTGTGAAACGAACCACTAGGCGGCTTCGCCAACTTGCAATTAGAGGTCTCCACCAATTTTCCTTGTAGCTCCATAGGCTGATGTCTTAGGCCTTGTAGGCCTTGTTCTAAGTGCAGCCAAATCTCCGTTTTTCAGAGACCCATTCATCATTGGATTATCCAGGCTTTGGACTTCTAAAACATCCTTCCCTTCCTGCTGTCCACCTATTAATCATTTTGCTATTCCTAAATATCCACAATGAATGTTACATGAATTCATTCAGTTTCAGTGCCTGTTATTCTGATAAAACATTTTTTGGGGAAGTAACACACAACTAGTAATCAATACGAGATTAAAGATCTGCTAAGGATGAATCCATAGTTGATGCATCTTTGGATCCCACCTTCCCCTACCATGGTTTGGGGACAGCTTGCACATGACAGGTGCTTGTTAAAATTAGTGGAATGAAAATATGGATGTCATACTTCCATATTATTACTGTCTTCTTTTGACAGAATAGTCATGAATAATCATACATGAAAGTATCTGGAAATTTTATGCAAAATTTAAAGCTCTAAAACAACTAGAAGCATTGGTAGGGTTTTAACTAAGAATAGGCACTTGATTAAATAATTGGTAAGAGGAGAATCTGGATTCTTCTTAAACAAGTGACTCCAAAGAATTGGATCTTGATATGGTTTGGCTCTGTGTCTCCACCCAAATCTCATGTTGAATTGTAATCCCCATGTGTTGAAGGAGGGGCCTGGTGGGAAGTGACTGGACCATGGAGATGGTTTCTAATGGTTTAGCACCATCCCCTTGGTGCTGTCTGTCTCGTGATAGAGTTTTCACAAGATATGGTTGTTTGAAAGCATGTAGCGCTTCCCACTTCTCTCTCTCTCTCTCTCTCTCTCTCTCTCTCTCTCTCTCCTGCCACCGTGTGAAGAAGGTGCTTGCTTCCCCTTCACCCTTCTGCCATGAGTGTAAGTTTCCTGAGGCCTCCCAGCCATGCTTCCTGTATAGCCTGTGGAACTGTGAGTCAGTTAAACCTCTTTTCTTCATAAATTACCCAGTCTCAGGTGGTTCTTTATAGAAGTGTGAGAACAAGCTAATACAGATCGAAATGCAGCAAATGAAAAATAGTGATGTAAAAAATTTTATCCAGTTACGTCTCTCCACAACTAAAGAAACTAACTCCCCTACTCCCTGGCGTTAGAGCAAGTCTTCTGATTTCCCTTTCCAATTTTTAAATAGTAATGATCTATTTTTTTAAGTTTGAAACAAATATTTTGAAAATAACAGTTAAAGGTCAATTACCTATTCTTCCCAAGTGACTTCAATGCAATTCTACCAGACATCAAAAGCTAAAGTCTTATTTTCTAAAATAATATTATTTGTTTCTCCTTAATTTCTGAAATAATATATTCTGGTCAATGTGATGCCGTGGGCCTGAACTTTAACAATGGGTAAATTAGCAAAGGTGTAGCAAAAGAAAACATACTGAGCTAATTTCATAAGATACCTGAGAACAAGTCAAACTGAAAAACATAATTGAAAATCAATAACTGAAGATGTTTATAGCTGAATTCTTGGGGGTTTTTTCCTCATCAGTTGTTGGCCAAATCAGATTAGGGTTGCTAGATAAGAAGGTTGAGGCAACAAGATGAAAGGCAGAAAAAACTCAATGTCCTGCCACCATCAATGGCTAATTCTCCTCCAGCTTTCGATCCCCAGGAGCTGACCTTGACCTTGACCTTGAGTCCTGATTTAAGCTCCTCAGATCACTTCCTCATGCATAAAACTAAAACAACATTTGATTCTTTGACCAGCATCTTCCCATTTCCCCCACCCTTTATTCCCCGGCAATGACTGTTCTATGTTTCTATGGGTTTGATTTTTTAGGTTCCACATATAAGTGAGATCATGCAGTAATTGTCTTTCGACGCTTGGCTTATTTCACTTAGCACAATGACGTCTAGGTCCATCCATGTTGTCACAAGTGGTAGGATTTCCTTCTTTGTTAAGGC